CTATTAGCATTGAGATAACTGACTAAATTGGCGACTCCGGTGTTGAAAAGTACGGGAGACTCGAGATTCGATTGCCAATATCTAGAATCTGTGTTATCGGTATCGAGGAGCTTCTTTCCTGTTACGGTAGAGAAAAATAAAGGTTTGTGCTCGATGTTCTTAGAAACTACGTATTTCAATTTACTTCCAACGTGGTGAGAGACTAGACTATTGTACGTCTCGCCAACCTCCCTCATATGATGAGAGTGGTACGCCTTTTCAACCTTCAGAGCGCGAGCGAACGTGTCGGGCTTCTCTGAACGTATCGCCTGCAAAACGGCATCTACTGCTTCTTTATCACCAGATATGGTGACGCTTGAAGGCGAGTTCTCACAAGCGATAATGACGCCTGGCACTAGGAACAGTGCTGTCTCTTCTCGGCCTAGGCCAACAGCGGCCATAGCCCCTGGCCTTTTCACCATGTCGGATACGACACCACGATCGTACGCGGTAATGATAGCTTCTTCAGCAGTAATTCTCTTAGCAGCATACGCGGCTGCTATCTCGCCGGACGAGTGACCAACCACCCCAAATGGTTTGACGCCAAGCTCGGACAACGTGTCGACTAGGGCAATTTGTATCGCAGTACATAGGGGCTGAGAGAGATAAGCTTTGTCCAGCTTACTCGTCTCAGCTGGCTTAGTCAATTCATCGATTAGGGACCAAACAGGGGGATCGGGGAGGTTCTTAAGGATACTCTCCATGTAGTGAACCGACTTCTTGAAAGCAGCATTCGATTGGAGAAGCTCGAGACCCATCTGAGGCCACTGTGCGCTCTGGCCAGTAAAGACCATAATGAGGTTAGGAGGTGATTGGGGTGCCTTGCTAAAAGACGCCGTACTGGCTATGATGCCTTTGTCTACAACCGCATACGTTCGGTGCGGTAAGTGTGTACGCCTTACACCAAGAGTATAAGCCACATCGTTTGCCGCCTCGGGGAACTCTTCGATATATTTCTGATTGCGTACAACCTGCCGTCTTAAAGAGTCCGAAGTGTTGGCAGAAAACAACAGCAATTGACTCTTTACAGGTGACAATCTCTGGTTCAATGTTTGAGTATTCCCGAAGTACATTCTTGCCGATTCGATGACAACGTGTGCGTTGGCGCCACCGATGCCAAAGGAATTGACCGAAGCACGCTCGTATCTATCTTCTGGCCAGGGGGTAGGCTCAACAGGAACCGTGAGCTTCTTTTCCTCAAATGGAATTTTGGGGTTGGGCTTGCTGAACTTGATGTTAGGAGGGATGATTCGGTTCTCTAGTGCTAAAATTGCCTTGATAAGCGACGTTATTCCAGATGCTCCTTCTGAATGACCGACGTTTGGCTTCACGGAGCCAATGTATACCCCTGTATCGCCGAAAACATTAGCGACGGCGGCGACTTCGATTGGGTCGCCGGCAGCGGTTCCGGTACCATGGCACTCAACGTAAGCGGTTTTTGCGATGTCTGAAATCCCTGCCACGTGATAGGCTCTACGAATCATCGCCTCGTGGCATTGGGAGCTTGGAACGCTGATACCGAGTGTCTTACCATCAGCATTGTTAGACGTGCCTCTAATCACGGCACGAATAGGGTTGCCGTCACGTATTGCATGGTCAAGCCTCTTGATGTAGACCATGTTGACAGCTTCTCCACGTGCATATCCGTCGGCATCGGCATCAAATGTTCTGCTTGAACCATTCGGAGATAAAACTCCTTGCTCGGACATACAGACAGTGAGTCCCGGAGCTATGATTAGATTGGTACCAGCTACGATGGCGGAGTTGCATTCGCCGTAGCGAATCGACATACACGCCTCATGAAGGCCGATCAAAGCTGAAGAGCAACCCGTGCGGATGACCATGCTAGGTCCTTTGAAGTCATATTCGTACGAGATTCTGTTGGAAAGCACAAAGTCGCCATAACCAGTAATCTTATAGGTGCCATATAGCTGGGGATCTTTAACGAATAATTCCAGCCAGTCCTCACCGAACGATCCAATGAAAGTCCCAATACTCTTGCCGCGGTAGTTGATTTCTCCGGCGCTTTCGAGGCACTCCTTAGTAAGCTCTAACAAGAGCCGTTGCTGTGGATCTGCCCGTTCTACCTCGATCTTAGGCATGCTGAAGAAGCTCGTATCGAGCGCACCGATATCGACAGATTCGTCAAGAAAGTATCCGTATCGAGTAGCGATATGGCCGGGTTTGCGAGACTTGGAGTAAAAGCTAGAAGAATTGTATCTCGACTCAGGGACAAGACCCCGTGCATCCTGTTTCTTTACCAGGAAGTCCCAGAACTCACTTGGAGTGGAAATACCTCCTGGAAGGCGAAGAGCCATACCGCAGATCACGATTGGTACTCCATTATCGGTTGGCCCATGATAATCCGCGCGGGACGAGTCTGATGTCTTTGAACCACAGTTAATTGAGAACTAAATGGTCACTTGGATAGAGTTGTATCTTACTGGGGAAGTAGACCCGGACGGTTTAACATATGGAGCCATGGTATGATGTCTTGAATGTATTAGCCTGGATGAGGGTTAAGTTGAGGAAAATACGCCCTCAGCCGATATGGGTATTGTGCCCAAGTCCTAGAGAATAGCTTTTTAAATTACTGGTTTCCTTTGATGACTTTCTCTGGATTCTGTTTTCTAAATTTCCGAGCGAGGTTTCGATACTTAACTACAGACTCGACTATGCCCCTTATCTCTATGTATAATATATAGCTACTACGAGTAACTAATCCTAGTAACACTCGGTTTGATGCCTTAAACTAGAGCCAAGTCCCGTTGCCGTAGGCTCCCGATTGACGATCCTACAGACAAATCTAAATTAAGCTGCAGCCGTGTGTGTCAGCGGATGATACAGCAGGCTACACGATGAGCTCAAACCTATATCGCATCAGGTTAGTCTATCATTAGTACCTATAGAATCTATTCGACAAGATGACTTGAACACGTCTGCTCCATATCGGCAGGACTTACACAGAAATGGCTGTAGCACAAAGATCGGCCTACAAGTGATCGATTCCAATCATCAAGTAAAGTGAAGAAGCAGATTACGATCTATCAGGTCTTCTGTTCTCTATCATTCATGAAAAGCTACTTGTTAGCGTGAATATGTATAGAGAATTTTCTTTTGACTATGCAACCCCTTTCCTAGTAAACTGCATAGGATTATCTCTCTATATACCGATATATCCATTAAACACGGGACGGGGTGTAGGTAGTAAGTTGCCATAACCTCAATCCCGCATATCTACCTATTCCGGAACCGGAACTATCCCATGATATAACTCCTGCGACAATAGATTAGGGTGTACCTGGGTAGTCATTGTATAAATGCTGATGTTATCGCCGATGCTATGCACAATGGAGCTCCGGCTCCGCGATTGAAGGTTCACATACGATGTCCGGTCCAATTCCGCGTTAGGACCAGCTAATGAATATATGGTGCGTTGATACTTAAATGTTGAGTAACTGTTACACCCGTGGACGTCCCGCTTTGTGGCCTTCCACATACCTATCAACCTGTATAACCTACCTGCAGATATGTAACTGTCATAAGTCGTTCTTATCAGGAATGGCGGTTGTACGATCCCTAGACGCGAAAGGCTACTTAGGAATTACCCAGATTGGAGAATGGGGAAATTAATCGGTCGGTATGGTGATGTTCACTTCGGGAATGATTCATATCAAGAGGGAACGCCGGGCGCTTATATGCACAACATAGTGCATGTCATTTAGTAGACAAAACTTTCGTGCTCTGGTTACAAGCCGAACTTTTAAACGGCAGTTCTATCATATTACATTATAACCGAAGCTTTTTTAAGTACTCATAAAATTAATAGGTCTTTGTAGATATTAAATATGACATCATTGCTTACGAGTTAGTTATTCATTCTCTTCAGGCAGTTATCTTTCTGATCCTTTTTACTAGCATGTCGACTATTATGGCTTAACTATAGTTAATCAAACTCGATTCATACACTGCATACTGGGTTCGCCGTTAGCCGCTAAAGTCACAGGTTACGTGTTACTGGAAAGTGAGACAATACCTTAGGTAGGTAGCCTAGGTAGTTAATCTCATGTAAACCTATGGTACGTCATGACAAATGTGTGGGCACCGCGGCTTCATTACAAAAAGCAATTGAACTGTTATATAATTATAAAGGTAACTTCATTGTATTGTGTATTTAAGTTAATAAAAATATAAAAATTTGTTTATCACGCGTATTGATTTTTTTAGTATTATTCGAAGCTGTAAAAATGTGACAGTATACTAGGTTAGCTACTTTTTTGCTTCTCAAATTAAGCTTTATACTATTGAAGCTCGTTATTCAAACACCGGTCAGAAATATTAGAAACAAAATACTAGAAGGATATTAAGGATTATTTCGGTGAACTTTGGCGATATTTTGAGAGGTCAGAGCCGTTAAGGTGTAAGTGCAAGTTATTAGGTTAGAATTGAATCAATATTCGAAGTATCTATCTGACCACTTGCATCAGAGTCAACAGAATAATAACACAAGCACGGAGGAAGATAGTACCTACCTGGTGTTAGGTATCTCAGGGGTAAATAGGACTGCACAGAGCTCATGATACATCGTCTAAATCAGCTATAGCATTCCCAAAAGGGTCTTTAACCTTTCACCATTTAAGTAGTACCCGGGACGGGTGAGCCCATGAAGTTAGTGGGGGTTGGATATGCGGGTAAGCAGTTATGTTGTGTATCCTGCGACGAGAAACATGCAGTTGTGCCATTCTCGATATGTACCACTTCGCCTATTAACGATTCCTGATCTAACCTAGCATGTGATGAGCCTAAGGGAAAAAGAAATGCGCTCCATAAGTAATGACTATTCTCGTTTACTGAGCTGGTTCTTTCAGTAATTTGGCTCACCCTCGTCACTATCACGTCCATACTATCTTAACACAACGGTATGCGCGTGGGTTCCTAAGCACGGCCATACTAGCTTTACCATGCCTGAAACACAATTCTTCGGGTCTCAGGTCGGAGGGGGGACTGTTATAAACTACAGCTATACTGATATGCCGTGGAAACTAATGTTCTGGGACTTTTGGTATTTTCTCAAGTACGCCCGATATCTGCCCTGGGTTGTATGGCCTCTCTGGCCTTGCTATGGTGGAAAATTTGACGAGCTTTCATTCACATTCCCACATATGTGGTGTGTTTTTGTGCACATCATCCTTGCTATACTTCAAGTGACTTTCATTCTGGCGCTGCCATCGGTGTTTATACTTCCTGGATGGCTCTTCATATCCGGATTCATTACTTTCTTCGCCGTCAAACAGCTGATATGCAGAACTTTAAATGGAAGCACAATACAATACACATCCGAGCCAAGATACTCACCTAACTGGGAGAAATTTGAGCACGAGCAGTGGATTTTCTTAAACGGCATTTCCGTCGGGTATGGTGGTCAGCTTCATGTCATATAAAACTGTTGCTAACAGAAAGAAGAGAAGCCTGGCTCAAGGGAAACCTTAATCGTCTAGCACTCACCTTCGGGCGACCTGTTATAGGCATTCATAATCGCACAAGCGGAGTCATCTTCGATATACTAGAAGCTATAGTTCAACGCTGCTTCGGATATGCAACCACTGATATCCGTCTAGCTTATAAGATCCTCAAGGACAAGCTATATAATCCGCAGTATACAACAGTGGTCTTCATTTTACGTAAGTAGAGACTCTATACTTCTTACTAGTTATTCGAACATCGAAGACAGGCTTACATAAGTCCTCCCTTTGTTTGTCATTAATCACAATTTATTCGATACTATTCAACTATCACTGGGAGGTATTTGCTAACACTCGAGGGTTAGACTCGCAAGGCGGCATCGAAGGAGGGCTTGTTATAGACTGGCTTTTACAGGAGGTTCCGCAAGATCTTCTCGCCAAGCTTGAAGTTTACACCTTCGGCAATGCGGCAAATCATTTCAACAACCCTCATCGGCATAAGAAAAGCCAGGAAGCGCAAGTAAAGAATCCCCATATATTGAACAGGATATTTGAGCAGTTTCCTCATCTACCAGGCGACATTGACAAAGCAGCCAAAAATAATTTTGACAATGCACAACCTCATACACTCATTCCCAATGACCAGGGCTCAGGGGAACTCGAACCTCACGGTGCAGCCTTGGATCGAGCTATTGGACACATAGAACACTACGCCCATACTACCGACTTCGTTGCTCTTTGGGGTGTTCTGCATTTCATAACCAATACCCGAGCTTCATCGGAGATTCCTCGTTTTGTTGGCCGGCTCTTCGCACACGAATCTCTTGGGGGCCACTTACTAAACCAGCATTACCTTAACGACATGTTTCCATTGGCTAAAAATTCATTTGGAGAGTTTACGGGCTGTGCAGAAAGCAACGAATTTATGGATAGCGTCATCAACCCACCTGGGCAGGGAGAGGGTGATAACCTTTTCCAAGCTATCCGCGAAGGCCTCGGCCATAGCTTCGCGGCGCTAGATCGCATCGCCCCAGCCAAATCCGATGTTTCCGTACAAGGAAGATTGGCCGAGGAAGTAAGTGCCTTGGACGGACCAGTACGGGTTAGGGACCTCAGCCGTCTATGGCATTATAGGAATGGTCAAACCCCTGGTAGATTACGAAAAGTATGAAGGGGTTGGAAAGTGGTTTTGTTGGAGCGCGGGAGATGGGAAAGGCATGCTATTGATATTGGTATTATTTTTCATTTCAACTTGCCCCTTTTGATCGACGGCATGTGCGGACTTGCATTTTCTTTGACAGAATGACTTCCGCCATTTGATTTTAATATGCCCATCCAACATGAAAATTCGAAATTATTTTCGAGTGTCGGCACCGTTTCCGGGTAGCTTTAATCCATCTTCAACACTGACTAGTGAGTTCCATACTTCATTTATCTACGAGGAAATCAAAATCTTGTACGAAACTGTGATTCTATTTATTTATATCCAATGTGAATGTTAAGAGAACTGTTCCTTAAGAGAACCTGTACAAGACCTGCTGTATCATCCGAAAGTCGCCTTCGCCGACCCCCTATCTTTCACACCATCTCTTGTCGCTTTTCTCACATCCTTCGCTGGCCCGAATACGGCCACGAGCTTGTCTCTTGATACGGTGAGTTCGTATCCAAATACAAGTTTATGGTAGCTCTCCAATCGGCAAGGATCCGTATTTGTGAGTCTCTTGTTATATACGGAGTAGCAGGCATAGCGATGAGCTGCTTCCAGAGCGGAAAGCCAATATCGACGTGTTCTTCGTGCTTTTTTGCACTGGTGGGATTACATGCCGAGCGGGATCCCCCGAAACCTTTCGGGTGTGTCTCACACGCATATGACCTTGTGCACTCCCAAAACACCTGTTCTCTCCCAAAATATATAGTACGAGGAGCCATAAGCATTTCTTATAAAATCCATGCTCGTTGGATGAGAGGTTCATGCCCAAATGCAGCATGCTACGCCGTGTCTTCAAGCTCGACCCTGAACACTTCCCCGTTACCATATATGTCGATAGCCGTAGGGGCAACTAACGACGGATCGCGTGAATAGAAATAGCCTCCTTCGTCATCACCAGCGCCGAGAACGGAGATGCAAAACACTGACTTTCTATATACATCTTGCATTGTCCCGGCTTATCTGAGCCAATCTTTGGGCGAGTCTTGGTAAATGCATAGGCGGTCAATCCACAAGTATCGAACCCCCAAACGATATGCGATATTATTGCATCCCTAATCGTCTTTGGCAAGAAATCGACCGTATTGGACTTCTGTAGCCAAGCAGATGTAGGCTTCAAGAGTCGAAGCGTCTTATCTAATGGGTTGTCGCCCCAGCGGTAACTTGGGGTGGCGTGTGAAGACATATGAGAATCTTCACCTCCGCTTATTAATTGGAACCTAGCAGTATCCTGTGAATGTGAATCACGCGAGCAATTTACCTTGAATAATCGGGTCGGCCCGTAATTCTTCCTTTCTGGTTTAGGAGTGCATAAACTATGATCTTGAAAACGGATTTCCATCCATCTGGAGATCATAGACCATGTTTGAGGAGAACCTGCCGAGTCTGGAATATAGCATTTCAACTTGTCATCAAGAGGTTGCAAAGCTGCAAGATTTCATAAGTTAAATTCAACCGTTTATATGTAATAATACCTGGTATTTGTACGCACGAAACTCGTACTGATTAAGCTGCAATCCTTCAGTATCTGCAATATGTTTTTCCGCCGAACCTAGCGGAGAGTACTGTCGTGCATTTCCAAGTCCATATTTGCAAACATTGCGGAACATGATGCCAAAGGTTTCCGAGAATATTCTAAATAATACTTTCAAGGCTGTCTCGTGTTCTAGAAACCGAGAATAAGATTTCACGAGTGCAATTACTTCAAAATCAAGATACAAGTTTAAATAACAGAGAAAGGATAAAAACAAGATTGCAAATTAAATATTTGAGAAATGAAGTGGGTAAAACGCCTAGCTACTCTAGAATATACAAAGGCTACCTACGCAGTTAGCATCTCATCCTTACTAAAATATTCTATTATATGACTTTATACATACCATTGTAGTGTAATGTTAAGTTTATAAATCTTATAACGGGGTTTCAAGTACTAACGATTCTTCCATGAAATGTTTTTATCTTTTTTAAAAACGCTCACCTTACACGAATACTTTAATTATATCACAATGAGCACAATAATAGATGAAGCTAAAACGCTGAAACATGGACATCATTTGAACTGTATTATATTTTCTCGCCAACAATATCATCAATACTCCAGTCCCTGAAGAGATAAACATAAGTTTTTTATAACAACAGTCCGTGCAACAATACCTGCCATTGTCTAGCATAGTTTGATGAACTCCCTATTCCCGCTTCGTGACTTCGGTTCCGCCTACGACAACGGCGCGCAACTGGGAGCGGTCCAAGAAGAGCTCCTGATCAGCGCCAACCCTTGCTGCTTTTTCGGGGGTATGCGAGAACGCCATGAAGTCCTGAAAGGCCGTAGCATCCTGGAATGTCAGCTCGGCGACAACGTCGTAATCAAAGTCAGCTTGGGACCCCAGAAGCACTTGAGCCGGGCTAGAGGCATTCCGGGTTGTACCTTCGCCTTGGCCTTGAGTGCGTTGGATATAGTGCCGTCTGTGTGATAGCGGGAAATGCGGACCAGCTACCTCTTGTAGTATAGGCATATGAATATTTTCGAGGTGCTCTTTGAACTCCTCCGGGGAGACGCCGGCTTTGCGCGTGAAGAAGAATAGGATAGAGAATGTCATGGTAGTAGTAGTGTAGTATCGCGTGCTTGTATTGGAATCTGATACGTAGGTAATGTTGATAACTTTGGAATTTATTTCCAGAATGACGAGATGGAGGTCTCTTCAAGTTATACTTGGATATTCCAAGGAAAGCAATGACAATTAAACCATCGTAGCTAGAAGATCAACAGAATAAACTTTCCTATAATTGCTTATTCGATCCGGCGAACTAGGTGACACAATAGATAATGGGTAATCCTTCTTTGGATACTGACGTAGGCATGGGAGGATTAGGATTAGCATTATGTAGAGCCAGGTTGGGAAATATGTATCTTCTCTCATAAAACTGGAACAATTAGCACCTCGACGAACCAATCCTGATAACTTAGTATACAAGAGGAGATTACGAATGGTGCGGCAATTGTAAGTCTTTCGGACTTCCCCAGGTTTGTATTTGCAACATATGTCCATTTATGGTTTGCTTCTCTTCGGAGAACTCGTTGTGTGCCGCGGTGAATGAATGGCCCGTACGGATTACTCGCAAACAGAACAATTTCCGTACCTAGTTCGTTACGATTTGAAATCATCTCTAGGATACCTTCTACCATACCAAGTATCTTTTCGCATTTTCTCCTTAGGTGCAAGCATTTTATCATGATACCAAGCTGGATTATTATATCATTAAGTAATAATTAAGGAGTGTCCCTAAACCAAGCCGTGCCAGCCTAGCCCCTATCCATGCCCGACAGGAATGACCCTCAAAACCAAACGTGCCCGCTCCAATGCAGAAAACCTAAAAAAAGGGAGAGAATGTGGAAAGTTTTCTCAAACTATAAACCCGAGCTTCTGGAACAGCCAATGCAGTATCAGTAACTGAAGCATCATCCGATTAGTTCAGAACCAGCCAACGCTTAGGCCGTTAGGCGCGTTAGTGCCATCGACCACGAAGTCCTGTTTGATGACATTGATGTCGAACTGGCCGACAGCAACCGTCTCCCAGTGGAGGGTCTTACCAGCGGGGCAGGGGAAACTCTCGACCGCCGGGTTAGAAAAGCCGACCTTGTCGAAGTTGTAGAAGCCGGTGGCATCGTCGAAGCGCACGCGCGCTAGCTGGGTGTCACGCAGGTTGCCCGACGGTAGGTTAGCCAGGTCCGTAAAAGAGTTACGGAAGAGGTCAAGAGCCTTTTCGCCAAGCACGCTATCGCCGTTGCTGATGCGGCCGGCGTGGATGACTAGGGTGCAGGTCTTACCCGCAGCGGACTCCGGGATTGGGATATCATATAGGGTACTTGTCTCGGTGTTGCCGTTGCGTACCGTAGAAATTTGCACATCCTGGGTGTTTAGGTTGCTGGTGATGTCGTGGTTCTTGATGATGCTAGGTACGGCGAAGCCGGCCCAGGCGTGCTCCTCTCGTGCACTAACAGTATTGGTGCCGGTTGGGGCGGCGAGCGAGAGGGTAGCTGAAATGAGGCAAAGAGCGGCGGTGGCATACTTCATTTTGAAGGTTGTGGAACAGATAGCTATTAGTTGATATTAAGAATTGAAATAGTATAAATATAAGATATCTATGCTTGTGCTTGTGCTTGTGCTTTCTTATGTGATGATAATGTTCTTTCTTTTGGAAGACGAAATGCCTTCTTATATAGACATGTAATAAGAATTTCACCCTCAAAATCTCGCGATATCCACGACTTAGAACATTACAATGGTACTCTAGGTTAATTCTATTTTTAATCTAGGGTATGGCTAACTAGCGGTGGGCTTATGAGGAGCCCCAGCTGCTGACGCTAATGGAGGACCATTTCTATCACCTATTGGAGGCTTAACACCAACAGCTGAATTTAGTCTACAACTATCAGCTTTCGTAAACAAAGTTCTAAGGTGTTAAGAAAGGGGAAACGATTAGTACCGCCTCATACGAGCTTGAAAATGGCCGGATAGTAAACCATCCGGTACCGGGTGACTGGCAAAGCCTCGTTATTGAAGCATGACATACACCCATCTCGACCAGTGATAGTGAGTTGAGAAGTGGTAACAATAGCCTATGCCTTAATACCCAGCATTAAGGCTGGACTTGTTGTCAGCCATGTGTGCTCGCAAGCTTTCTCTCAGCCTCAACTCCGCTAGTATGGTAAGCCTCCAGGACTACGCCAAGCATGGCTAACACCAACGAAGGATCGGAAGATCTGTCATATGCTCTGTTGATATTTGTTGCATAGCCATTTTATCCGTAATAGCTCCTTGAGAGTTGGTATCATGATGACTATTGGCAGCGGGCTGACAATCCAACTCTCTTTCCATGTAATTAATTTCGTGTTGGTTATGGAAGAACTGTCAGCCAACATCACGAGGCATAAGAGCTGTCGAAGAATATACCTTTGAGTTGCTTAGTTCTTCCCAGCTGACACTACCAAGTAAAAATATTTGGAGTTTTACGTAAACGGGGTGAAGGGCGTGTCGTATTCTGGTATTGACCAATGAAGTTTTATCTGACATACATCGTAAATTGTCCTCTGAGCAGATGGTCGTAAGACTGATGTAAAAGGTTCGATAAGCATGAGTTATCATTATTCCGTCTGCTTGCAGTCCAGTGTATAACCGAAGAGTTTCGTTTTATTATTGTTGCGCTCATTTCCATGATACTTTGGAGGTTATAAGTGTCAAAGAAATTGCACCGTAGTATTTGAGGTCTTCGCCTATCGGGGATAAATATTTGGATTACACGGATTGAGCTGTTTTATTCATTAATAATATTTGTGTGAGTGTATAGATCAATACCATTATAGCTGGGCAGTGTTCCTAAGGCTGGAACGGTCGGCTCTTCTACCCGCTTGCTTCTTCTCCTAATTTCTGAAGTGCCGAGTCGTAAGCAGCTACCTTTCTCTCGAACGCATCTTCTTTCTCCTCAGTCACCCTAATGCGCTCTACCTTCTTGCTCCTTTGAACAACGGTCTCGCTAGCTACTTCGTTCCAAAACCACCTTGCCTCCGGATTAGTAAATAGTGTCCACGACTTGCCGGTCTTTCCAGCTCTGGCCGTACGGCCTACACGATGAATGTATGAAGCTATGCTGGACGGCATATCGTAGTTTATAACGTGATCTAGACTAGGAAGATCTATACCACGAGCAACTAGGTCAGAGGCGACGAGAATGCGCAACTTTCCAGCTAAGAACGACCGGATGGTGCGTCTCCGGGCTACGTATTGCGTCGTTGAAGTAAGAGTACCGACAAGAACGCCCAAGGCCGGCGAAAGAAGCGAAAGGAGACGTGAGAGACGTAGTGCTGTTTCGTTTGATTTGGTAAATATCAAGACACTCGGTGTGTTTGCGGCAGGGGGGGTGGAAGTCCTAAGTGATCTATCTAGATCGGAATCGGAGTCTGAATCGGAGTCCGAGTCGGACCCAGATGAAGAAGTTTCACTATACGAAACGTCGCCTCTAGACCTGCCACGGCTAATCGTCCCCAGTATGTAATTGCTCTGAAGTAGATCCAACAGGAAGAGAGGCTTGAGATTAGGGTCGCTTACTTTGAGTGCAACTTCTGCGAGCGTTTCGGGGAGCGCAAGGTCGGCTTGATTTATGGTAGCTTCTACCTCTTCGTTGTTACCCGAGCCCTCTAGTATGACCAACTTGGGCCAGCGAAGTTTTAGCCCTTCTAGACGATCAAGATCCCTTGTCATCGTGGCGCTGAGGATGACCTTCCGAACGCCTGATAGGCTGGATTGCTTGTGGTTTCGCGAGCCATTGCTCGAATGCAACCGCGGAATAACTACATCCAACCATTGTTGGAAGTTTTGACCGAGCAGTTTATCGGCTTCATCAACGACAAGCCAACGGACGAAGTCCAACGAAAAGCCGGGTGTGTGTTTGATATGTTCGACAAGCCTCCCTGGCGTGCATATAAGAATATCAACCTTGGATTTGTACGCGATTACGTGATCCGGTAACGTTTGGATCTTGTCTTCTTTCTTTTGAATCGCTGCTCTCTCTTCGTCTTCGGTATTGTAACCCTTGTCTATCTCATCATCAGAACCATATCCGCTCTCTGAAGCAAGTCTTCCTTTCCGTTTAGCGAATGCTTCCGGGTCATATTTCTCTTCCCTTTCGACAAGGGCGGCTTGTTCTTGGTCAACGGACTGGCTACCCATCGAGATACCAACACGCGCTCTCCTCTTCGTACCATTTAGAGCAAAGGCACCTACACACTCCTCGCATACTTGTTGAACTTGCTTCACAAGTTCCCGAGTCGGAAGAACAATCACAGCACGGAGCCTCGTCAGATGTCGATTGCCTTGGCTCAAGTCTCGTACTAGAGGTAGCACGTAAGCTAGAGTCTTTCCGGAACCGGTCGCAGCGGAAATCAAAACATCACCATGCATATTCTTGTCTTTATGGGGAAGAAGCAATGGTATCGCGGCGGTTTGTACGGCAAACGCTTGCTTATATCCATTTGCGGCTAACCTCTCGGCTACTTCGGAAGTAATCCCTAGGTTCGGAGAGAGTCCGAATTCTGTAAAGTATGCCGTAGCATGCGGAGATACACGAATTGGTTTCGCCAACCAGGACGGTAATGTCTCGTAGGCCGGTTTCGTAGCCTCAGGGACGACCGGCTTAGGCTGAGGTAGCGGTTGAAGACCATGGATTTCGGGTATTTCTGCATCCACGTCCATAGCATCATCGGCCGCCTCCGTTTTCTTTCTATCGCGGACATCTGGTGCATCTTGCATTGATATATCTTCACGCCTGTCCGCTACAGATTGCAGCTCGTGAGCTCGTATTGACTTCGCCGCCCTTTCTAAGACCACTTTGTGTCGTATTAGGGTTTCATCGTCAGCCTCAGCTTGAACCTCTGCATTTCCCTTCTTTTTCGCTTTCTTTTTAATTTTCTTTTCTTTCCGCCCCTGGTCCGTCAATTCGGGAATCTTTCCTGGAGTTGGTTGCTGGGCTGCTCCCCGTTCTAATGCGCCTAGCTCTAGAGCTGTCTCAATTTTGTCTGGCTCAGCCGGCTCCATCACGAGCTCATTATTAGCGGGCTCATCTGGGTCTTCCGCAGTAGCATGTAGCTCCTCGGGTTGTTTTAATTTTCTGATCTTCTTTTTTGACTCCTTAGCAACGTGAGTCTCGCCCATCAGCCTAGCTTTCTTATTGGGTGGCTCATTTTGATTAATATCATCTTGGAAGTGAACATGCTGAGAAGGTTGATGATAATCAGATTGGCTATTGACGGGTTTGGAGGGTGGAATGTATCTTGCATAAGCTGTCGGCTGCGACTTCACCACAGGGTTCGATGCTGTTTCAATAATGTGCAGTGGTTCCGGGCTCTTCTGAATAGACCCTTTTGGTGGTGGCACATATCGCGCGTACATTTTTGAAAACCTGCAAAGTGACGTGCTCCAAATGTGAGAGGATGAATTTTGAAATATGGAACCTACCTAGGTAAGTTATAATAATAAATCTGCCATCGCATAAAAAGTTGGCCGCCTTCCTGATTTAGTATCTTTAGCGATCTTGGTGCTTTTGGGGTGCTTTTTTTTTTCTTTGCATGAGACTATCGATAACTGTCTTATATGGGGCTTGTGGATCAAGAGTACGTATATGCATGCTAAAACGTGCTAAGGTTGGGACCTACAGATTTCAACCCCAGATTTCCAATTAGCCAATCCTAACTACCTCAACACTGGAACTATCAACTATACGGCAAAGCGTTTTATTGCTTGTCTATTGATATTTCTAATGACTTGGTTACAGCAGCACGATAATTCCCATACCGCGAAAGTTCTTGATAATTCTCGAATATGACACGAAATTATTTCCAACGATCCGCTCATCAGCCGCCACGATGCCGCACCGAACGTATAATATCGCTATGGTTAGCGATTTCTTCTTCCCCCAGCCGGGGGGCGTCGAGAGTCACATCTACCAGCTTGCCTCCAAGTTAATCGACCGAGGTCACAAGGTAATTGTGATAACTCATGCTTATGACGACCGGAAAGGAGTTCGCTACCTCACAAACGGCATCAAAGTCTTCCACGTCCCCTTCGCCGTCATTTACCGATCTGCCACCTTTCCCACCGTATTCTCCTTCTTTCCCCTATTCCGGAACATCATCCTTCGCGAAAAAATCCAGATTGTTCACGGCCATGCTAGCTTGAGTACCCTCTGCCAGGAGGCAATGCTACATGCTAGGACCATGGGACTGCGAACCGTCTTCACCGATCATTCGTTATTTGGCTTCGCTGATGCGGCAAGCATCTTGACTAATAAACTGCTCAAGTTCACACTCAGCGATGTCGACCACGTAATATGCGTCAGTAATACATGGTGCGTTTTCTAACCCTTCGCTCGGTCTTCGCTTCAACGCCTCCGCTAACATCTCTCAAAGCAAGGAAAACACAGTTCTTAGAGCAGCCCTAGATCCTCTCATGGTCTCCGTCATTCCTAACGCTCTCGTCTCCGAAAATTTCAAGCCTCTGCCCCGTCCAGAACTAAATAGCCTACCGTTTGTCCAACATCCTTTACCGGCGCACCCTCTCGGACCCAACGACACCCTCACTATCGTTGTCATCAGTCGTCTATTTTACAACAAGGGAACGGATCTCCTCATAGCGGCCATACCTCGAATTCTAGAGAATCATCCCAATACGCGCTTTATCATCGCCGGTTCGGGGCCAAAGGCTATCGAATTAGAGCAGATGATCGAACAGAACGTGCTGCAGGACAAGGTCGAGATGTTGGGGCCCGTGCGACACGAAAATGTACGAGACGTGATGGTGAGGGGTCACGTCTACCTACACCCCAGTCTAACAGAAGCTTTTGGGACTGTCATCGTCGAAGCCGCCAGCTGCGGTTTGTATGTTGTATGTACGGCCGTGGGAGGCATTCCCGAGGTACTTCCGTCACACATGACAGTATTCGCGAAGCCCGAGGAGGATGACCTAGTAGCTGCGACAGGGAGGGCTATTGCGGCTCTCCGTGCGAATAAAGTCCGCACGGAGAAGTTCCACGACCAGGTCAAAGCTATGTACTCGTGGACCAACGTAGCGAAGCGCACCGAACGCGTCTATCAAGGCATCTCGGGGGATGTCAGCGAGGCCGAATTTTACGGCTTCGACGTTAATCATGACCCACACTGGCATGCCACACGCGGCCGCAACTTTTCTCTGATTGACCGGCTCAAGCGCTACTATGGTTGCGGTGTCTGGGCTGGCAAGCTGTTCTGTCTGTGCGTTATCATCGACTACCTGATATTTGTGTTTTGCGAATGGTTCTGGCCCAGGGACCGGATCGATTTCGCGCGGGATTGGCCAAGAAAGAAATTTGAAGGCGATGACGATGATTAGACTCATGACGTGTAAAAGCCGTTCAGAGACGCATACATTCATGTAATCGAACGTAATGTTAACTAGACAGGTCAGGCGAAGATATTAACAGCGAATAGAGATACCCATTGCTTAGATGTTGATGTAGTTTATATTACTATTGCGCGACGACCCTACCTGGGTACCTCATAATTACGGACAGAGCAATGTCATCGGATAGCATAACTCTTCTACACCCAGCTCATCTATCGTTCAACTGCTCAAAAGCATTATCGTATAATCTCATCGTAGGACTGTTGGTACGACGGAGGGGTTGTATAAAGTGTTTTCATTATATCCGTGCCCTCAAATGCAACTCTCCAAAACCCAAGACCAATAATATCTACGTAGAGCAGCCCTTTTGATAAATACGACAGATCATTTAGGTATCCAGCAGACGAAACAAGGAAGCGAGTCTCCCCATCAATTTCAGCAATGCCCAAGACCAGATCATACCACCTCTCAACCCCGGGCCATCCCCCATCATCAGCTTCATTTTACTTCCCCTCGTATTTACAACGCACCAATAGTAACCCGCGAGGGCAAACTTCACCCTTCCCTGGCAGACTCTACCATCAGTTGGTGGACGTTAGTGAGTACATGAACAATACGTTAGGCAACTAAACACACTTATGACAGCTGACTTCAATATCGTGACGCTGCTGCTGTCCACTCATTCGCTTATTCTTAAATGACGACGTAATCAATGATGTGATTTGGATTCAATATATTGTACAGCCTAGGGTAACACAACTGCTATGTTGCGTTGTGGTAAGAAGCCATTGGTCGCGAGGAGCGAAACAGCAGGAGTCATAAAAGTAGACTCCGGGATCTGTGGTCGACTCGACTCGGCGTACCTTTACAGGAGGCTATTGCAACCTTACTACTTTCTACCTTCGGGCAATCGAGGCCACCACGTATCTTCAGATTATTTCGTGTGAGTACCGGAATAGGATACGTGGACAGTCTTACTCTAAAAGTGATACACATCTATATGCCACCGAGATTAATCCTGGTATATGATTCAAAAATGGCGAGCAATCTTTTATAATGGTTGGCTAAACAATGTAAATAGAGATATGTCGATTTCTGGGCACTCAGAAATAGGGGGGCTGATGTCCACGGAGCAGAGAGTAATGATGATTTTGAACTCTTAACTAATTCTCTTATTCCACACAAAGTCTTCGGCCGATCCTTTTCTGTTGCCCCAATCGCTCGTTGTGTCTAAACCAATATTTGTTCGTGGTAAATTTTCCAAAGCTTTTCAACTCAGTCTAAAACAACCCGAAAATCCCGACCCTGATATAGGTCTCGATAAGACCATGGCAGGTAGGTGCCACGAAATCCATATCAACGCTTTTGTTATTAATACCCATGTGGCAGAAACAATCCCGATGATTGCTTGGTGGTTCCTCGACAAGAAAAAAGCATTCGAAACCGAACAGAAATATAAGGAGACGAACAAGAAAATCGCTGAAGTTCTCCTTGCTCAAGAACAGGAACATTCAGCTCGGCTGGAAGCCGAACGAAAAGAAGAGCAAGAACGCTTAGCTCGAAAAGAAGCAGAGCGCCGCGAAAAGCAAGAGCGTATAGCTCGAGAACAAGCGGAGCTTAGAGAAGAGCAGGAGCGCTTAGCCCGAGAACACTCAGAACACAGAGAAGCGCAGGAACGTCTGGCCCGAGAGGAGGCAGAGTCCAGGGAAGAACGAGAACGCTCGGCTCGGAACGGGGCAGAGGTTAGGGAGAAAGAGGAACGTATAGCCCGAGAAGAAGCTGAGAAAAGGGAGGGACAAGAGCGCTTAGCTCGACTGGAGGCAGAACAGAGAGAAAAGCAAGAGCGTCTGGCTCGAGAGCAAGCAGAATACAGAGAAGAACGGGAACGTCTAGCTCGACAAGAAGCAGAGCTTAGAGAGGAACAAACGCGCTTAGCTCTAGAGCTGGCAGAACTTAACGAACGTTCAGCTCGAGAGGCCGAGAGGAAGGAAAGATATGAGCGCGAACTGCGCGAACTGTGAGACCCTATCATAAATCCTTTTCGGGCTACAAGGTCTTTTATCTGCTAACGACGGGAATAACAGCGGTGTTCTGCCAGACCGTAAAATCACCGACGTCGATATCAAATATGCCCGCGCCGTCGCAGGATACGAAGACGGATGCGTCAATATCGCCCTTATCGGCAACCGAGGAACGGGCAAATCCTCCCTCATCAACTCACTGCGCGGTTTAAGTCACGATGATCGAGAAGCGGCCGAAGTGGGTGATATCGAAACAACTTTGAGACGGAAAAAGTATAACGACGGCAAAGGCATCGTCTGGTATGACATCCCGGGATCGGGAACTCGAAACGTTTCGGCATGGCAGTATTACTATGACAACGATCTTTACATTTACGATAAGATCGTGCTTGTCCACGGTAAAATTCTGACCGAAGTAGGCTCATAGCGACTATTATCAGAAGACCAACCTTACTAACTTGGTTATCTAGTCAGACTTCAGGATCCTCAAGCTATGCCAATATAGAAAGCAAGAATGGGTTTCGGTGCGTTCCAGGGCCGATTTACACATATGGAACTATAAACGACGAAGGGGAATGTGCCCCGCCGAGGCTCGCCAGTGCTATATCGACGCTGTTCGGTCAGACATAGCTACGTATAACGCACGAGACGAGAATTCTGTCCAAGATTTAAAGCTGTCCGTGAGAGACTACATAGTATCCGACATGGGTGTTCTCCAGCTCGTCACCGGATCAGAGCCATCTGAAGATCCCACCGAACAAGTAATCGACGAACACGCCTTCTTGGAGAAATTGGGATTGTCGCCCAGATGAACGAAGAACAAATAATGGGTATTTGCCTTGTTCGAATTTCCCTTACGTTCACCCCCTTTCCTTCTTTCCTCGGGAGTTATGTTTTAGGATTGAGAATGCCGTTATAAATGGAATAAGTCAACTAACCTAGGATTCCTCGGCGGAGTGAGATCGTAGGCTATGTGTGTGGGAGAATAGGGATACGTATCTGAGAACATCATTCTAAAATCTTGCCGGAAGAAAGAGGCTCATGGGTTCACGAGTGTTAATATAATTAAGGAGGACTGTACATAGCTTAAGGCTTGCGGTTGAATACTATTAAATCTGAGTGGTTTTACTGTATGATGATAGGTACGAGATATTAGATTATTGTGGCATGTTAGTTTAGCGCTTATATGTATGTTAGGTATGTATCTATGTATTCATATATACTGCCAGTCTTGTCTAATGAACATGCAGCATTGCCTACTCAGATAGCAGCAATTGCTGAGGTGAGAAGCAGCACCCCCGAGACAGTCATAAGCCAGGAGGCTGAGATGAGCTGATGCGAAGAAGCATTAGGAGTCTCGGTGGGTCCTCCCGCACCCGTTGTCGTAGACCCCGGCGCCGAGCCGGATCCAGTAGGCGTGCTGGGCGCATCGGTCGGGGCTGCCGTCACACCGGCCGATGTTGAAGTCGAGACATATCCCTCAATTTTTGCACCGTTTTCGTCGACGTCACCCCTAAATTCGCCGGTCTCGTTGCGCACCTTGAAATCAACATTGGCGCGGGGAAAGTTTAGGTCGACATTGATGGTGCTATTAGACCAGACGCGCGCTAGCTGCCAGAATATGAGAAGATTGTCTTCCTCGATGAAGCGAATCAGCTCGGGGTTCTGCTTCCAGACGTGCATGGTTGCGTTCCGCACCTCAGAGCTCGGTATGTAATCCGGACGGGATATGCTTATTGATTCGCATAGCTCATCGCTCAGCGTGCCGCTTTTCGTCACTATCAGATTCGTCTTGATCCATGGGAATGTGTAAATAATGTTGTCAAGCATTTGGATCGACGGTACGTATGATATTTCTAGGAAAGCGATATACCGATCGTTACGCCCAGTTGTGTCCGGGTCTCCGAGTACGACTGCCGGTCGCTCAAACAAAATATCCTGTGCGGACAAGACGTCTTTTGGCGGATCAGATGGGGTTAGCTTATGTCCAGACTCATAGACCGCGGTGAAGTCGAAGTCGTGGCCGGTTATAGGTGACCAGGAGGCGTGTACCTGACTAAAGGCCAAGGCCATCGTCAAAAAGGTTCGAGAGTCGAAGCCATACATCTTGGGCAGCCTACACTACAAAGGTAGGTAAGAGTCAAACGATGTGTTTATCGTAATACAATAATCAGCAGGTTGTTTATAGGATCTCCGGCGGCGCGGCCTATTTATATATGAATTTGAAAGCTTTCACGGCATGAGCTAAGTAACCCTGAGTCACTACTCCGGGGTTACATTTCGATCTTTGTGGCCACTTCGTAAATGAGTAAAATCCTTCACGCCCGAAAATCGGCTGCGGCGTAGATGTCGTCGTAAGGCACGAATTTGCGCTTGACTACTTGTGTATTTAGCCAAGTTGGCCAAGTTGGCCAAGACCTTGAGTCAAGACCGCTTTAACGTACTCGTGTTGTTTATGTAAACTTGACAATTCCACTTGAAAAGATACTTCGCTTTTCTTAAAAGCGGGTGTCTTGAAAGGACGGAAGCCACCGAATATAGAATTAGTTCGCAGGCTGAAGACATTAGCACATAAGGGATATAAGATGTTAGAATACACCTAACGGATAGCTCGTGTTGAGACGTACGGGATTGTATCACAGGCTCGAGATATTAGAACGTACAGGGTGATGATTGAAAAACATAGGTAGTTGTACGGCGTCGACAAGATCATATTGATCTATCCGTTTCTTGTAAATGTAAAACTGCACGTCTGTACCATGGCCAATATGTCCCACGTATCCACGCCGCAATATGACGCAAAGCACGAACAATCTGGAAAATGCCGAGGATGCTTTCGGTAGCTCCAATAGGTTGCTGTATCCATAGTATCTAGAAGGCAGTTAGCATGTATGAAGGCGTGCATATTCGGGAAAACATACATACCGTTTCGTTGTTAAACCTGGTGCTGGCGGCGAAATGCCACTCGTGACCTTGTATGATGAGGGCCGGAAGGAAAGGAACGGCTGCTGGTCGTTCGGTTTCTTCCCCTGCAGAAAGCATCTTCTCAAGAATAGCCCATTGTGCGGCTTGCCAAACGCTAAGCTGCAATTGCGCATTCCTAGCATTCTCGCCGGGTTTTTTAGACTCGGCACTGAGAACGATAGGCCGGCGACGGAGCGGGTAATAATCAGTGTGATTAATATATAAAAATCTCTCCCGCAGCTGGGCGATTTTTGTAGCTTCTCGCGCCTGGGGTTCGACGAATATACAATAATCTACCATCTTGGAGCCATGTGTACGATCTATCAGCCTAGCTGTCGTGCAGGGCATACCACGAACGCGAATTGGTTGTTGTCGGCTCTCGCACTCCGCTTGATCTCGAGGGGCCGAGACTGGGTTCGCTGCCTCTGCAACATCTGCTATAGATCCTAGGGCTAGTTCGAAGACAGGCCAATGAACGAGAGTATTCCACGTCGCCTCCGCATGGTCCTCATTCAAACACTCCCTGGCCGATTCGAACACCTTCAATATCTCGTATAAAGAAAGTTTTGGATCGGATATTGTGGCAGCACTATCGGCTTCAAAAGTCGATGGTGTAAAATTGTAGAAGTTGTCGTCGTATTCGGCGCGTGCGTCTATTTCTGTACCAAGATAACTAGGTACGATCCCAACCCGACTCTGAAAACTGTCCAACTCTCCTAATATAGCCTTGAGCTCCGCCGGTATACGGGTGTCGTTTCTACTGATTTGAGCGACGAGGACGGGATTCTCTGGGGCAACTTCGAGTCTCGCTAAGCGTTTAGTAGGGGATGTTCTGCTTGTAGAAGTAACTGATGAGCGGCTGCTAGTTGTTTTATCCGAGATTGACCAGGCCTTGCCGCTCCTTGCCCTCGGCGTGCGATTCATGTATAGATCATTATCGATGGGGTTGTTGGGCCGTTGTCTTTTGATAGGTGGCGTTGCGTCCGGCGCAACGTCTAGCGCAACGTCCATTTGGGTCTCGGATGTGGTCGGCGTGTGCATTTGTCGGCGTTTGCGCTTGAAGGTCTCCGGCAATTGCCTTGGATCTGTTTGATCAAGAGCTTTAGGCTCTATAGTGTCAAGCCATTGAGAGATATTCATTTGGTTACTGGATGTGTCACATAACAGATATGTACTAAATAAGCCATATATGAGGCCTATTTGATGATATGCCCTGAGTTTACGAAGGGTTATTGTGGCGGACTTTTTTTCTATGGGAGAGAGGCGTCCGAAATAGGCAGTGGGGTTGCCTAAAATGGAAGAAGATTACTGTATTAGGAAGTGCCCCTGTCAGTTTTTGCAAAAAGTTGATTTTAAAGGATGTGATTGGGTAGATTTTGAGAAAAGTGGAGGGGTTATTAGCCACACCTATAGCCACAGGGCTAGCCACAGGGCTACTGGGTCACATGGTGTGTTGTTAGGTCACGTGGTATGTTATTGGGTCACGTGGTGTGTTGTAAGTGGGGTAGGTAAAAAGGCTACCTGGGCTTAAGGTTATGTAAGGCACGGGGTTACGTAATAAGGGTCATATGTTGAATGATCTAAAAGCTATTGCAGGGTAGGTTTTACAATACTTGAGAAAATTCGATAAAAATGTAAAAAAAATAAAATAAAATAAATATTTAAAATATAATATAATATAATATTATAATAATAATTTAATATAAATATATAAATAATAAAATAGTAAAAGTTTTTATATATAATGAATTAAAAAATTAAAAATTATATAATTTTAATTTTTATAATAATAATAATAATAATGAACTGGTATGGTGCCACATTGCCAAGAGTAAGGGTATTATTATGTAATCTTAGGTTATAAGCTATATAAAGGTTTAATATTTGTTATATTCTTTTGATTAAATAGTTATAATTATTATTATTTAATTATATATTTAATATAAACATATTTGTTACTTTTCCATATTTATAGTTTATGGCTTTATCTTGCGTATTTATCTTATATATTCTATTCGATTAGTAGATCTTTATAGTTCTTTTAAAATATAATGCTATCATCAACTATTTAAGGCCTTTTATAAAGATTTAAACGTTAAAGTGATATGCCATACTTTATAAGAAACACCAACTCCTGTTTAATAATAATAATAATGAACTGGTGCTGGTGTATTAGGTGACCTTAACCCTGATCATATGATCATATTCTTAGTATAAGTACCATTTATGGTCGTATACATCTATTTTACATAGTATCATCCACTTTTAATACAAGTCATTCCTTTTTTTTCATCATCATTATTTTTAAAAGTCCTTGATATCAAGTTTAATAAGGCTTAATCCAAGGCCAAGACGTTTAAGTCTTGTTTAATAATAATAAAATAAAATAAAATATTTAAATTAATATTTTAATTTATTATATATAATATAATAATTTAAATTGAAATAAAAGTTATTTTAATTAAAAATAAAAAATATTTAAAAATTTAAAAGTTTTTAAATATAATATTATTTTAATTTTTATATATTTTAAAATATTTAATATATATATAAATATAATAAAATAAATAATAAAATAATAATTATAAAATTAATAATGTTTTTATTAAAAAGAAATCTTTTTTAATTATAATAATTAATTATATTATAATTTTTATTTTTATTTATTATTATTATTATATAATATAAAACTAATTTAATTATATAATAAAATAAATTTATATATAAATTAATATTTTTTATTTATTTTAATATTAAAAATTATTAAATAATTATATTTTTTAAAATAATAATAAATACTTTTATTAAATTCTTTTATTATATTATTTTTATTTTATTTTATAAAAAATTTATATTTTTAATTTTAATATATTAATTTTTTAATATTATTTTTATTTTATTTTTTATTTTTAATAAAATATAAATATAAATAAATTTTAAATTATAATTAAATATTATTAAAATAAAAAAAACTTTTTAAAAATATTTATTATATATTAATTAATAAATTAAATTAAATATAATATATTTAAATAAAAAATATAATATAATATAAAATAAAACTTTTATAATTTATTATTATTAATAATTAATTTATATAATTAATTTAATTTTTTATATTTTAATATTATATAAATATATAAATAAAAATAAAAATAATTATTTAATATAATAAATATGTTGGTAGGTACGTACGTGAATAGGAATAATAATAATAACGATAAAACAATAGCAAATAAATCAATAGTGTTAAGACTGGTGTATTAAGATGTTTAAGGAGGGAAAAATCTATCTGAGGCTAGCTAGGTATATCGTATTCTTATATTTTAATAATAGTGGATACCCGACCTTTTTGCCCAGTAAGAATGGGCATCCCATTTCTTCCTTCCTTATCGGCGACAAGGGCACCTTATCACCGATAAGGTGCCTCCATGTCAGTGTCGCACAACCATTAAAATAATTATTTAAAAGTTTTAATAAAATATTTATATATATAAATAAATTATATTTTTAATAGAGTTTTTTATAAATTTAATTTAAATATTATTAAATTTATAATTGATATTTTTTTTATTTTTTTTATATTATATATATATTTATTAATATTAATTAACTTTATTAAATAATAATAATATAAATAATATTAATAATATATATATATATATATATATATATATAATATAATATTTTATTATTTAAAATAATTAAATTATATTTTTTTAAATTTTTTTTATAATATTTTAAAAAATATAAATAAAAAAATATAAATAAATTATTAAATTTAATAAAAGTATTTTTAATTAAATTATAATTAGTAATTAATATTTAATTATATAATAATAAAATAAAAATTTATTAATATTAATATAAAAAATATTTTTATAAAAAAGTTTATTAATTTTAATAAATTATAATTTATAAAATAAAAAGAAATTAATGTATTAATTTAAAAGAATTTATTTATTTTAATATATATATATTTATATATTTAAAAATATTAATATTATAAAAATAATATAAATTTTTATTTTAAATATTATTTTTTAATTAATTTAATTTTAAGAAAATAATAAAAATAATTTTTAAATATTAAATATTTATCGTTTTCCTTTTCTTTTAATTTTTTAAAAATTATTTATATTTTTTTAGGGTTAGTTAGGGTTAGGGTTAGGGTTAGGGTTAGGGTTAGGGTTAGGGTTAGGGTTAGGGTTAGGGTTAGGGTTAGGGTTAGGGTTAGGGTTAGGGTTAG